GGGTGTGTGTGTGTGTGTGTGTGTGTGTGTGTGTGTGTGTGTGTGTGTGTGTTGCAAAATTTGCTTCAAAAAAAGTGTATCGGTGCATCGTTTTTCTCCAAAACCGCGTACAGTGACGTCGCTTGCTATTCTGAAAAAAGTTATATCCACAAGTCAGTACGCGATCAACAAACTAATCGTTTTAGTTTCGCTACTGAAACAATACAAACTTTGACAACGACTAACCTCCTTCGAATAGTGAGACACTTCATTAGAGATCCTTTTCAGCTCGAGAGTATAGAATCATCCTATTTACACCAAGTTCATTCGCAACATTTCAAACTGTTTGCATGAATTCGCTTCCATTTAGCCCCTCAAACAATCACCGTCGATAACAACAGTTGGCTTACTCCCTTCATTTCCTACGTTCTCATCTGCATCACGAAACGTTTGGAAGCACCATTCACCAACCGATCGTTAACCGTTCCTTGGCTAAATTCATGTTAATACGCGAATGCTTTCTGTAGTTTCGTATACAAGCTTGAATCCATACGAAAAAAATTGTAAGATACGCTTTCTTCCCCATTTGTACACCAACGAACTAAATTCGAAATTACAGCAATGAGGAAAACACTGATTTGAAAAGGTAAAGCGAGGTCCATGGCTTAGAAACTGCACAAAGCGTTTACAAATAAAAAATTATTTCCGTTGAAAACTCTAGAGACTTTTATACCATAAAATCGGTTATTTCCTAGCGAACAACTTACAATCACTAGTTGACTGCATACTTTTGAACAAGTGGACTTACAGGTATGCATGAATATGGTCGCTTCAGTAGCTCCCACGCAGCAGAAACAGGTTTGCTTCGTGAGCTCACTTGCCCACTTACATATGAAGGCAACTGAGCGCTTTTAGTTCACGTTGACCACCTACCTGAAGGCACCAGGAGTGTTCCACAGCTCAGCCTACTGAAGTTCCAACCGAACTAAAAGTGAGGATTACGGTAGATTTGGGCAAAATTAAGATGAAATGGAAGCAGCTAAGTCGAAAATCCGGAATTTGCAAGGAATTCATTCCATGTATGCCCACATTAAGGACCTAAGCAAATTTCTCCTTCTTGCAAAATATCTTTGCAGTAATGAACAACTTGAAGTGTTGAATGGTTCCCAACAGTAATGATTTCTTTTAGTCGCATTCTACAACGTTCTTCTTTGATTGGAACTTCTGAATCGTACCACAGTGGATAAAAACGGGGCTCCATCAAGCAGGAAAATCTGACCAACTTCACGCTGACTGATTTTCTCGAGGGAAAGCATTTGCTGAGCAATCTACACTGATTGAAGTGCTTCAATTCGCGGCCGAGTTCTCCCAAGACGAAGATTTCTTGATTTCATTTGCAATTGAGCCCTCTGTGATGGAAGGCGTGGTCGGCATGCTCGATCGCTACGGTACATGGCGGCGCGTGGCCGGCTTCCACATTCGCAGTAATGGCCTATCCGTTCGGATTGTTCGCCTCCAGTCTTCTACCGTATCTTCCGTTATATCCGTACTGTTCTGTTTCACCAAAGAAGTCGTCCTACTTCATCAAAGATATACTTGGTTACAGTGATGACGTCCCACAACTGGATGATTTCAGTCGAAGCGGTTTGTGACGAAAGTTTAACTAAAGAACTTTTCTGCAGTTTTTATAGCCAATGAAACCAAGGAACAAAATTTACAGCTGAAAACTCGATCACCATCGAAAGTGCAAATCGACAAATTAAGAAGAAAAAAGCGAGAACAACGTTCAGTGGACGTCAGATATTCGAACTAGAGAAGCAGTAAGCATATCTCTCTTTGAAATCCACTAATTCGAAATCGTTTTAAAATATTCAAAAATTCGATACTTACCCAAGGGCTTTAAATCGTATTAAATAATGAGGACAAGCCATCAAGAAGAAAACCAAGCCCACATTAAGAAATATAACCAAAAAATACTGGACAAACGAAATAAGCAGAGCTATAAAACGCTGGTTAACAAGTGCCGGCTTAGAGAAATCGGTAACAGTGAATAAAACACTACCGAACACTCTGAGGCTCCAGCTATTCGCAAAGGTTTGTACGACCGTCTTTGTGAATCAAACAATAGCATAATTTGCCCTAGAGATGATGATTGCATAAGTTTGGGTACAGTGTATCTGATCTCTTGTAAAGCATTTGGGGGACCAATACACTGGCCAAACGAGTGGACCATTCTGCATCCGCATAGGTCGTCTAAACTGTAAGCGTAAGATAAAACAAAATACTCCACTAGATCCGCATGGAACACATAGACATAACAGGGATGATTTTGAAATAGAAGTCACCGCCCTCGCAGAGTGTGAAACTTAACCACGTAAAACCCTCGATGTATTATGAATAAATTCAATGAATCCAGAAATGCAGAGAGGAATTCACGCGTGATCTCACGGAATATCTCAGACAGATAGTTTAACGTGGGAGAAGCGCATTACCCTTCAGTGAAAACTCTGAGTGGTTCTCAACTTTGAGACTCCACATGGACTCACTAGAAGACTCAAAGGAAGTGGTGATTGTGTGAAGTCGTTTTGTTTGCAATACAATTCAAATCTGGGCATCATGGTTTTTCTATTGAAGTTATGGCGGTGATGTTTTGGCTGACTAGATGGCAGTTAACTTGACCTTTCTAGGATTTGAAGAAGGCGAAATCCACTGATGCGTCAGCTTTTGTGAATAAAGAGTACAGCAACAAACTCGTGCGTCCTTCTCAAGAAAATAGTAAAGTAATAACGGACAAGATTTCACCGTATTTGCTGGTTTGCGGAAAGGATCTTTGTGGGGAAATTAAAACATCTAGCCGAGAATTTACTCCTCTGTATTATCCGTTACTCTCTCGTACTTTTCTATCGTTCTTTCAATCCCTCGTTTGAAAAAGAAGTCTGCTGATTTGGATTCGAAATCGTCAGGACAATTTGGGAAGTGTCGCCATTGAGAGATGTTCCACACAGATAGAGTTCAAAGAGTAAGGCAGAGAAGGAAAAGCACAACAATACCCTCCTCAACAACCTCGGATATTTTCCAAAGCGAGGCGAGCAAGTCACGGTGAAAAGAAATTTGATGTCTTCTTCACGATAGTTCTTGTTCAATATTAGTAAGAAGTGGACAAAGTTTAGTTTCCCGGAATAAGCCATTCTGTACTGAGGCGTTGAAATGGTCTTCAATAAGAGCTGGTGTTTGTACTGACCATGGGTTGTCATCCATTTAAAAGTAATCATCCTCTAAAACATGGAATGTTCGTTGAAACATTGTTTTACTGGTGAAGTTCTTTCGTAATATGACGCAAATGTTCCCGATGGTCCCTGCGCTCTTACTTTGCGATTGAATTAAAGCAAAAACTATATCTGAAGTGTTCTTTTCAGTTGACACTTCATAGTTTAACTACGTACCGAAAAAAAAAGGGTCGTAGGAGAACTAAAAGATTCTAAATGCATTCATATGGCAGAAGTACAGTGCTGAAAATAAACACTTAAGAATTCGAATAGATAGAAAACTAGCTGACAGAAACGTAGAACAAGGGCCTTCGTGGCGCAGTGTGTAATGCGCAAGCCCCCGAAAAGGGGAATCGTGGATCTTTCTGGCCCGGAATCCAAGTTTTGCGAATATCTCAGCATCGTTGTTGTTGATTTCGCGTAATACCCTGCCATGAAAATTGTAGTAGGCAGTAAATAAGGAAGTGAACTTTTAAAATTATAAGGTGACTTTTTTCGAACTAAAACTGCTCTATAAACGTAACCGGCGGGATTAATGTGCATCAACTCAGCACATTCACCTCATGGATAAACTATTTATACCTGATTGAATAAACATCCAGAATCCCTAGTTTAAGATACAGTTAGGAGTCTAGGATTATAAAATTAAAACTATTCAGGTTCGATGCAAAGAAATACCTGTCAAGTACGGAACGGACCGAACTCGCCAAGAAACTTCATGTGACAGAAACGCAGGTGCGTCATCCAAGTCCTTTCGAAGAAAAAAAAAGCACACGACAATAATCCGACAAGCTCAGATAAACATTGCAGGTGAAAATATGGTTCCAAAATCGACGGACGAAGTGGAAAAAGGTTGATCTGGACAAACGGAACTCACAGTGCAGTGTAGAATCTAATGAAAAAGATAGTACTTCTCTATAAATGCGATCTCCCTCCGTTCGATTGTCATACTTTCATACTGGATTGCAGCTCAAGGAATAAGCAATGAACTTGAGAAATGTCCGAATGAACCACCCTTCGTATTCATATGGAGCCGACTCGATTCATTAAATATCAACGCCGGTTACGAAGTCTGCAAATACAAGTACTTTCCAGACGTCCAACAGATCTTTAAAAAAGCCAGCAGCTTGTCCGCTCTTCAGCACACCGCCGTTCACCTGCCATTTTCAGAGCACTTTGTGCAGTGCCCGATTTACTGCCAATTTCGGTGTTTTAATGCCCGTAAAGGACGGCTTCACTCAATCAGACTGAAGTGGGCATTAGCCTCATCTTTCGACTGTGCCCGCCAGCTTGAATGGCAAGCAATAAATGTTTCGATCGTCATCTAAGAGAGCGTTTTAGATCTTTAGGATGACGAGAAACGGTTGATTCGTCTTTGTTTTCACAATACCAGCACCCTTAAAGAGTGTCCATACGGATTTAACTACTCATTGTATTTTTTATAGAGTGTAATTCTCATAGAAAGGATTTGAAGCGGACATAGTTAGCCATACTCAGAAACCACAAGTAATGATCTCACAATGCGTAACATTTGAAATTCACTGGCAGCTTTACTCATAGCTCACTCCTAGCGTTAAACACTGATGTATACATTTTTTCACAACCATTACGCTTGACTGATTACTCATCTTCTTACCAACGTAACAAACGAGCTTTTGGCCGCGAATTTTATGCATTGACACTTAGTCTCTTCATATTCAATTACATTACTAACCCACACGGCCGACTATATATTAACCTCAGAATTGATCAAATAAATCTTTATATTCTTGCTGAGCAAATCATTCCGTTCTATGTTCAATGTGGTAAAAATCTTGGTTTAGCATTTTCTCCGTTTGGTTATGGAAATGTTTGGCTGGGTAGATTGTGGTCAACTTGACCTCTCCAGGCCCTGAAGAAGGCGAAATAAACCGAAACGTCAGCTTGTTCTTGAATAAAGAATAAAATAACACCTCGCGTTTGCTCAACAAGAATATAAAGAATACATTGCTAATCGTTCATAAAGAATTTTCATCCAGCCACATTATGTTAGGCCAATTATGTCACTCTTCAGAATTCCAACAGAAAACGCCTATCCACAAGTTCGACAACTTGACAACTCCACATTAGTAATGCTAACTTAAGCTCATTCATATTTTGATAGCATGAACACTCCTAAGAACTGCAAGAAAACCATTTCTTGTCCTTCCATAATATTTGTAAAGAGCTTACAATATCCATCACTACTTTCCAGTACACCTTTTCATCATCATGCTGCCACAACCCTGCTTGAGTTAAGAAACAGTTCTTATCTGAGATCCTTAAAAGACTCACTGTAGCCATTGGAAGAATTCAGCGAAGTGCTCCAGAGGATGGGATCGCCGCCTAGTTATTCGCTTGACATGCCCGCCAATCGTCGAGTCTCATGGTAGTTCGGCAGAGCGCACTAGTAATGAAATCAACTACGCCAGCACGATTAACACCCCTTGGACGTCCGAATTGTCTAGCACTAGAAAAATAAAATGTCGAATAATTGCGAATGACTGGAAAAAGTACAGCGCAAATTCCAATTGCACTGCTGAACAACATTAACGATAAAACATCTCGAATATGTTAGAAAATTCTGGAAGCTTCAACTCCAGTCTTTATTATTTCTTATCTCACACATAACCTCTCTGTATTGCTTTACATAGCAGACGGAAAATCCATAAAATTGACAAGGTACCATCCAGAAACGGTGGAGAGAAAAAAATTTATTCACAAGACTTCGCAAAGTACACCAAAATCATAAAATGCTCGATTCATCACAATGACAGTGGATGGACAAGACACTCGTCATTACTTAGACACTTCACAAGGTTTCGTTAATTAGAAAAAAATCTATCAACACTAAAACTTATTATCTGAAGGAATGTTCGACGAGAAACTAGCCCAACCCTAAGCAGCAATAAGAAACAAATAATAAAAATAATCAAAATACTAAAAATATGAAGGCCTTGTTTGAGACCGCAAAATACCTTTGATATGAACAAGATTTCTTTGGAAAAATGTGCAACACCATATTAAACGACTTATGAAGTCAAACCCATAATACAGGATGATATACAGCACTACTCAACATTGACCAATCGCTTGCGATCGCGAGTTGTCTTGGCAACCTTAAATTTACAGATTTCATTGAGAAACCAAGCTCCATGATAAAAAAAACATGTTGTGCATGGAAAGAAAAATAGATCCTGGGGCGTGCTTTTAGACATAATCGCAAATGCGGGTGATTTTCGGTGTTTGGCGCATAACGTGACGTCTAATTCTTCGGAATGTCTTGAAACCAATGCGCGTCGCCCGTTGGGCCCCATTGAAACCAGAACACATCGTGATGAATGCGCTCTTGTAGATTCCCATTCGAAAATCGCCACATTTCTTCATCAGATCATCGACGTGAAAGGAGTAGTTTAGAGTGCATTGAGTGAAATTTGGGGTTTTACAGAATAAAAAGCCGAAGGCTACTTCTCACATTGCCCTGTTGTAGAGAGGCTGTTGCAAATGGTTGCTCTGTCTTAAACTTGACAGCTTTCCTTGGAAAACCAATTCCTCTCGTTTGATTCATAACATCGTCTGGAACAATATTCATCGTAAATACGTTTTCTCGAGGAAATAAAATCTCGAGGGTCTAATCACTCTAAGATTTCTTATAATGCGTTCTTCCACGAATATAGTATTCAAGTCAGTCGTATGCATTTTTGAATAGTTTACCAATATCAATCAGCAGCCATACCAATCGGTGTCAGTTTTTTTGATTATCCCACGCAAAAACGACTACATACTTACCTCCTACCATAACTCCTCCCCATGGTATGCTTAACTCGAAAGTTTTAAATATAAAACACAAACACAACTGACGATGTGAACTACGCCTACCACAAAAAATATTTCACTAGAACAGGAAAACACAAACTTATCATTAGCAAATCTCATCGCAGTACCTTCGACATCTCTCTTACGAGTTGCTGATGTGAAACCCTTTGGAAAGACAGCATGAGCCTGAATTTAGAAAAACTGAATTTAGATTGATCTCGGCAGAGAAATTGTAGTACGCAAAAAATAAAAATTGAAAACATTGTGATTTCAACTACAGCTTCAGCTTAACTGGGTTCAATGCCGAAGTAAACTCCGCAGATTGATCCCGTTGACGGGTGATTGGTGATGGCGCTGGTGGATAGAACTAGCTGAGAAACAGGCGAAACGAAGGACCTGCATGGTGTGGTGGTGGACGCGTTACTCCCCGGAAAGGACAATAGTGCGTTCGTTCCCCAACTTAGACACCTATGGTCTAGAGTTTTGCAAATATCTCAGCAACATTGTGGTTGTATTTCGCTCAGTACCCTGCCGTTAAAACTGCAGTAGCTAGAAAATAAAAAGTAAAAACATTGTTATTTTAAGAATGTACGACAGTTAAATAATCTTGAACAACGTATCATTTGACACTCAGCCGCAGATAACGAAATTCTGGATTATGTATGCCTTCAAAGACTGCGTACAACAATTAGATAGGAATAGAAGAGTAGGAACAGGAATAAAAAAAGAATAGGTATAAAAGTCAAAGCATTGCGATTTCGACTGCAGCTCCAACTGAACTTGTTCAATGCTGATTTCTGCTTTCCAGATTATGCCCGTTGCAAAGTGACTGCTGCAAGCACAGTTAGGGCAAAAAAAACTGGCCGAGATAAAGACAAAAGAAAGACTGTGGTTAGTGTAATGGATAGCACGTGAACCTCCGGAAGGGGTAAAGGCGGGTTCGAAGTCCATCAGAGGTTCCCAATTTTACACATATCTCAACATCTCTATGGTTGCATTTCACATCGTACCTTGCCGTGGAAAAAGAATAGGCAGTAAATAAAGATTAAAACAAGCGCTAAAGTTTCAAAACATGCCGGCCACAACTAAGAAGATTTTCCAGTTCTTTGACGAAATGACGAAAAACAGTTATCCTAGAAGAGAGACTAACCGCTATCCTTTCAAACCTGATTCCACAAAAGAAAACTGACGATACAGGCACTATGCCGAAAATGTTTCTCATCGCTGATGTCAATTCTTATGTGGTTGAATGCAAGCAGCTTATAGCTAAGAATTTCAGTGATTTTTACATTGGAATGGAAACAGTTTGCCACCACAGTAGGCAATATTACTGCGTCGTATCAAAAACGAAATGGAATGTACTCGTATTAAAACAGAACTGTGAAGCGCGCATACCTTTAGGACACCTACAGTATCCCTTCCTCGGATATTTCAGAGATTTGTTGTCACACAATGTCGAAGTCATCTAGTGTCCAGGCTCATGATGGGATACACCATATCAATTCAGACAAAAAAAAAAGGAAATAAAAACTTGGTCACTATACTAGCAGCACCATCGTTCAGCACCAGATGTCATTACCGTTTTATTCTGTCGTTAATCATATGCAACTTCTAGAAGTAACAAGTTGCGCTAGCAGTCGTTTCTAACAAACACACAAGTTAGGTCAAATTTAAATAGAGAAATCGTGAAATGACCCTTCCCGTTTAGCGACGGTAGTAACAAAAAAAACATCGAAATCAAATAACCAAACGAGTAAATCTCGCCATAAAGAACAAAATGTAGCCGACAAAGTAGAACAAACGAGGGGGGTGCGTAGCGCAGTGGATAGAGGGGTGGGTTCGGTCCCACGTCCCAAACTCACCAAGCCTTCCATCCCTCCGGTGTGAGCAGCTTGCTACCAGACCTGACTGAGAGGATAGCAACACTGACACGATACCTCAGTAGACCACCATTAGTACTACTAATGTATAGGCCAGATATGCTTTCAAACAGCTCTAATGATGCTGGATGAAGTCGAATGCGTCCCGCATCCTTCAGTAATCGACCAAGCCCAGAGCTTTACCCTTTTCCACTTAAAGTAAAACAATCGTACGTTCAAACCTCAAGATGGGCATTAGAAGAAATAACACTATTGAAGAACACCACAGAGGAACGCTTGATGCGGATATCCTTACTACATAATCGACATGTCACGAATTCCTCACTAAGATTACAACATCTAGAAATGCGGGAAGAAACGTAGTTTTATGAAGTCAACTACATTTTGAAAAGAAAACCGAAGACTATGGTAATCCAATTGTTTTCGTAGACGAAAAGCTCCATCGATGTGAAACGACGATATTCATCCAATTTCCAACTCTACTGGCTTTTCTTTTTCGACGGTTTAGAAACGATATCGATTACTACTTGCATCAGTGAAAACAACGAAAAAATCTCTTTGAAAATTTGCTCTAATGAGTCGGTATGTTCATCACCATGAGAGATCTCAAAGATGAATGCTCGAAGAAATTTTCATAATATAACGCAAAAGGAGAACTACTAACAGCTTGGTTATATTCAGTCCTCATCGACTTGTTATAAGCGCAAGCGAATTAGGAACCGCTCAGTGGAGGTAAACTAACTAATTCCAAGACATCGCTAATACTCTATTTGGAATTTCAGTTCTAAAGGAAGGATAGAAAAAACAGGGCAAAAAGAATAAAGCTCTCGGCGTTGATCATTCCTTTGGGGATGCGACATGTACTTAACTTCATTAAGCATCGGTGGTTATTGAATGAAAATCTGCCCTTTACAATGACTTGCGGCGGCCTACCAATATATCGAGCTAGTGCTGCTAGCCTCCCAGTCACGTCTGGTACCGATTCCGGAGGGATGAATAGCTCGATGAGCCTGAGACGCTGAGATCGATCCTATGTGTATTGCAGGGCATCTCTGATCGCTGCGCTACACGCGCCCCTAATAGGAAAAAGATGCTATAGGACCTATAGAAAACCATAAACAATTAAATAGAGAAGCACACCGTATATGAAGTCCTTCGCTTGTAAGCAGATGATCCAAATGAGCGACCACATAGACGGATAAAATCAGGATCAATCACGGAAACTGAAAACAGCCACGCTTTTGTGCTACACACTGGCTTAGATTCACACTGTATATAAAGCAGAAGACTGTATAAAGACAAAAGCAGCCACGTTTTACTTCCTCCATGCAGATGTGATGCTTCTTAGAAGCAAACGCTTGCAAAACTTCATTTATTGCAGCGACGGTCGTAGCGTACTCCTCACGGAAATGAAGGACCTCTGGCTCTGACGATAGTACACAAAAATCTGGATATCTAAATAACGCATTGAATGGAAATCTCAACGTCAAGATCTCTAGAAGGGCACTCACAGAAATGGACTGCGAAGTCCCTTGAATAACACGTCACAGTAGGTTTCTGGCTCCTCCAAAGGCAAATCGTATCCATGCTAAAATTATTCACACTTTTAGAAAATCAATAAAGTCTAGGGGTAAAAAAAACGTAATTCCCACTCAGGATGCACGTACGCAATTCTTCCAGTACGCTCGCATTTCTAAATAGTTGGCAAATGCGGAATCGCTGGGGAGCTGACGATACCGTCTTACCACTTGCCCTCGACTAAGCCTAGGATTCGGAGAAATCAATGAAGACAACCTTCAGACGTAATGAAATCCTGAATTTATGACTACTTCAAAGTCTTCTGCACCTGCATTCCCAAACGTGGAGTAGAAAATAAATGAAAAAAAAAACAAAAAGTATAGAGTGGGTAGGAGTCAAATTCTTCAAAGTTGTCAAAGAGAAGTGCTTAAAACCGAGAGAACTTTGAATTGATCTCAGCCGAAGGAAAAAGTTGCTGGATCAAACGCTGTACTAGAGGCAAAAAATAGAAATTGGTACATCCCATCTTTATAAGCTCCAGTTGGTGCTAGAAAATATTGCAGTACACATTAAATAAAGGATAAAGCTCTCCGCGTTGATCTATACCTGAGGGGTTGCCCCGTGCAATCGACTTCATGAAGCATCGCTGGAAGTAAGTGAACCCATACCTGGATTTTACAACGACTTACGGTGGCCTACCGATGTATCGAGCCACTGCTGCTCTCCTCCCAGTCACGTCTGGTATCAATTTGCGACCCCGGAGGGATGGAAGGCTTGGTGAGCCTGGGGCGCCGGGAGCGATCCTGTGTATATTGCAGGATGCCTTAGCATTTTAACTATATAAAAAGTAATCGGTAAAAGTGAATAAATATGGCATGTTAAAAAAAGGTTGAAAACAGGAAAATAAATCTACCCTCTGGTCGAACAGGAGAATCCTAGTCACAAACAAACTTTTAGTTCCGAGCCATTTCGATCAGCATTATCGAATTGTGTCAAGCTCAAGGCTATGAATGTGTAGGAACAAGTACGTACTATCGGCCAAATAATAGATCTCTAACAATATCCCCGTTTTAAACTGATCGTAATATTTAAGTTAACTGCAAACATACTTAGGTAAGCAGAAAACCCAACGATGTTGCTCGGAGCGATTCCCAACTAGCCCAACTGTCAATGGGTAAAGACGGACCGTTTCTGGTGAAATACGAAGAAAGACTTCTCCAATAGATGTACAGTGAACAGTGAACACTGAATAAAATAACAAGGAATTGCTAAATGGAGAGAATACGAGAAGAACAGAATAAATTAAGAGAACAGAATGAAAGAGAATGAAGAGAAGAAATAACATACGGATCCTTGTCAGATTTGAAGAGGTTTCTCCAAGGAATGGCCCCTTGATCAAGTCACTGCCGCATCGATAGTACTGATGCGACTCGAGCCATACGAATATCGAAAACCGCACGCACTCCTCGACTGAGAGGCAGTCGGCCTGATTGCTCGCTTTGATCTACAATGGCGAGATGTGTTCCGATCATTTCCAAGTGAGCAAAACCTTAAGCACTTACCGTCAAGAACTCCTTAGTTAGCCAACCTTGAAAATCGACGGTCTCATTTGAGAAGCAATCGCTTCGTCCCACTATCATGATTTCCTTGAGGCACCGCTGAGGCGCCACCAGTATTCCGTAGGTAGAAAAAGCTGATAGGAGATCTCTGCAACAATCTTCTTAACTTGAGAGCATCAATACCAAGTATACCGCGTTTTGCAAACGAAATAGAGAGCTTCACATGGGAAATCCCCGAAAACACTTTCACCTGCACATTTTCTGCTGAACGCCGTGCGGTGACGTTGATCGATCGTCGACTTCTTGGTTGATCTCCAAATGAAGAACGCTGCATGATTCCGGATCGATCGAGCACAGCTGGTACATTCTGGAATGTTGGCCGAAATCCTGGATGGAGAACAGGAACAACGATCAATTATTACTGAGAAAATGGCTATTAAGAGAGGTCTTCATGGAGGGTATCGACTAAAAATATCAAGTAAACGAGAAGTAATATTTTCCTCCACTCGCAACAGCACGGCTCTGAGGGTGGTGAAATCGCCGAAACGTCAGCCATCGACCAATAACAACAACGACAGCAAGAACAACAACAACAAAACCAATGACAGCAATAGCAACGACGACAGCAACAACAACAACAACAACAACAACAATAACAACAATAGCAACGACAACAACAACAACAACAACAACCACAACTTGTACCAACCTCGCATCAGCTCAACAAGGAGAGTTCGTAAGAGCATGTAAATAAATATATTGAATATTTATGCCGACGTTTACAGAAAGTCGGTCTTTTGAGTTATTAAGGGATTAATTTCTAGCTCCCCCAACTTGTCGCCTGTCTGTGGTTCTCTTGGAAACTTATAAGAAAGCTAATAATTTAAGCAGTGTTTCGTACACATGCTGTGTTGCATTCATACAAAACTGTCAAACACCAGTAGGGGAATTTTAAACGGATTGAAGCGACGGTTGCAAACGTCTTGAATGAAATATCATAAAACTCAGGTTTGGAATGCACGGTGTTCTATGGAAAAAAAAGAAAAGAAACACACTATGTTTAAGTAGTTATCTTCAGCTTCACGACGGCGTCGGCTGACGACAATGCGCGGCTGTAGACAAGGTGCGCGACGACAGGCGGAAGCGTGCGGTCCAACGATTACCATAGAAATTGATTGATGTGTCCGCGATTCGGCCTACTGCATAACTTTGTCTGCTTTACAGTGTGGGCATGCAGTAAAGGAAGACACAGGGAGTTTTTCCATGTCGTTTATACTATAAATTCTCATCTTGAATACATGGGTTTCCCGTCTTCACTGATTGTGCAGGCCTCAACATAATTTCCATTGTTTCGGAATTTTGCTCGTTTAGCCCCGCTGTGTCCCTGGAGTCCTGAAGTTAGCAAGACCAAAGTCTGCCCCAGGTCTTCACCACCACAGATAGTTACCGCCCTTGTAGATCAGAGGGAGATTTGCCACTATGCGACTAGTTTGATATCAGGACGGTGGTGGATCCTAGTATTGGTTTACTCTTAGTTGGGCTTCCTGATGGATAACCCGGCCTCCTTTTTAGCTCGGGAGACCATGCTGGGGTGATGGATCGCCTCGTTGTACATCGCAGCCCGACACCCAATAACGCCTTCACCCACTATGAGGCGGTAAACCGTTGGGAAGGCAAATGTTCATTACTGAGCATCTATTAAAACTGGAACAATGCAGAGATAAATGCTCATTATTGCTACTAATTCCATATTCGGCCTAAGCAAGTTATAAATAAGCAATTAGCCGCACTAAACATCAAAGCGTCAGTCGACGACACTTTCAGTAATGATTCTAACTGACCAATCAGCTTACAGTTATGCAGGATCGGTCTTTTCCCTGCAGCTACGTAAAATTGAAGCTACAGAATGGTTTATATTTGTTTACCAAATTGATTGTATGGTGGGTCTACTGGAGCTATGTGGTTCCACTAAATTCGTACTGGCCGAAAAGACTCAAGTACGACTTTGAGGAATGGATTACGTCGAGAAGAAAAATCAGCGATAGTCACCTGTGTGTTGGATGAGATGACGCCACTCACACTTATCGTAGCGGAGCCCCTTTTGTGTCGGTAGGAAGACCTTCGCAGGGTATGTGAACAAGTCTTGATAACTAGTGAGATACTGCGTTAACTTTTTATTTACTGCCTATTACGATTTTTCACGGCAATTATGTGTAATACAACCACAATGGTGCTCAGTTATTTGCAAAACTCCAGACAGCAGATGTCTGAAGTGAGGAACGAACGCACTATTCCTCTTTCCCGGGGCTAATTCGTTCACTACCACACTGGCAGCGCCGATTTGGGATCTCCAGATCAACGGCGATTGCTGATGATAGTGGTAGACAGAAAATTAGCTGAGAGAAAGGCGAAGCAAAGAATATGCATGGTGCCGTGGTGAACGCGTTAGCCCCCAAAAAGGTAATAGCACGTCCATTCTTCACCGTAGGCACCTGCGGTCCGCAGTCTCGCAAGTATTTCAGGACCATTGTAGTGAGAGACTTTCAATACATATCTACTGCGAATCTACTTGTTTCAAGCTCAATCTACTTTAGCTTCTAGCTCAATATTTGCTTTAGATTATGACTCAACATCCAGCTAGCATTCAGCTTCTTCACATGAGGCGACATGTTATCTCCATCCGGAAATTCAGGCAAGAATAAGCCTGCAGCAATGACATCATATTGGAGGAAATCTATCTTTGAACATGTAGATCGGCAGCTTTTGGTAGGTGTTTGCAGCGGCAATTTGAAAAAATTTTTCGGAGACCATTTCCGAATTCCAAAAGAAAAGGTTCGTCTAACTAGTAATAAAGCCGTGAAATGAAAATATTAGGCCTACGCGACTGTTGATCGCAGGATATCCAAAGCGTCCATCACCTATATGTGATATGTCAGCAGCAATAGCGCCTGCGGATGTAGGAATGAAGAACATAGCTCTCGGCTTTGATCAATCCCTAAAGGATGCACCGTGAACTTGACTTCGTCAAGCATCCGTAGAAGTGACTAAGTACGTATGTTACTGATAGTGACCTGTGGTGGCCTACCGATATATCAAGTCTGTGCTACTATCCTCGAATATCAATCTGATGTGCTGGATCGAACCAGTGACAACATGCGCTTTGCAAAGCACCACTAACTATGGCTCCACACGTGTTCTCAAATGTGGATTTATCTTCATAATTTCCACAATTTTTTTTGAAAGACTAGTTAACGGCGTTTTCGCAATAACCACTTGTAACTCCAATACTACTTTGTCAGCTCCTTAGGCTAAGAAGTGGCAGCGGAGAAATGGTCCCTTATCTTCAGTTGTGAACTAATGAAATCCATTCCATGTCACCAACGAGTGAGAATCCGTCAGTAATTTTTATTTCTTAGGTTTTTCTTGATTTTTACGTTTACTACTTAACTAGGTAGAAATTTCCATTTCTCAATACAAGTTGAGAACAAAGCGAATGTGGTGCGATATCTGCAATTCATCTTCACTACAAGGATAACAGGCTGTTCGTAAACGTGAGTTCAATGGGAACATCGCGGATTGGGGGCGTTGCGATGAGCCCGAGCTTGAGACAGACTATCGATGTCATATTCTGCATTCAAGTGTACTTAACATCATAAAGCGACACATTTATAATCCAATGCCGAGGTTCCTAAATACTGAACCCTGTATACTGATTCAGCCAAAAACCTGGAAACAACCAGGGAAGGCAAACATAGCACGGTAACAGCCGAGAAACTAACATGTCGTCGTAAGCACAAAAGTCAACAAATTCAGAAGTAGCTGAGAGACAAGCGAAAGAAAGGACCCGCATGGTGTGGTGGTGAACGCGTTACTCCCCGGAAAGGACAATAGCGCGTTCGTTCCCCACCATAGACACCTGCGGTCCAGGGTTTTGCAAATATCTCAGTAACGTTGTGGTTGTATTTCGCTTAGTACCCTGCAGCGAAATTATAGTAGGCAGAAAATAAAAAGGTATCAACAAATTCATTTCGCTGACCTCGAAAAAACCTTTTTCATAGCAACATTGAGAAATATTAATGTGGGGAGAAAGAACTATCAGAACCATTGCAAGCCGCCTAAATTCGGAAGGAAGGATTATGATGAAAATTTAGAAAACACAAATGACATCTTAACCTTTTTATTTAATGCCTATTCTTTTCATTTAACGGCAGGGTATTTTGCGAAATATAACTTCTATAATGCTGAGATATTTGTAAAACTCCGGACCGCAGGTGTCTGCGGTGGGGAACAAACGCGTTATCGTCCTTTCCGGGCAGTAACGCATTCACCACCACACCACGCGGGTCCTTCGTTTCGCTTGTCTGTCAGCTAGTTCTATCAATCTTTTGCCATCAGCAATCACCCGAAAACGAGTATTCTGTGTTGAAGTAGATGACACACAAATCATATATACTTCCCGCTCACTTGATTGCAGACTTTCAGCTGAATGACGATGATTCAAGTCCAGTATCCAGAGCAGTTGTTCTTTCTTGCATTAGTGGTCCTTCTTGCATTAGTAGTCCATCGTATCGAGGGAAACCGCGTAGAGTGGGTACCACACGAGTGAAGTAGCGTTCGCCAGCGCTCCCTTTTATATAAGGTTCCAGCTGCACTGACCTCACATGGCATTCTCTACGAATACCAATTACCCACGATTTAGCAACTCCCGTTGTCACTCTACTTGAATCATCGTGGCTGTGATGAAGGTGAAACCGCCAACACGTTAACCATAACAAAGATCTTAACAACTTCGAGTAAGCTCATCAATAAACCAAGATATTATGGACTATTATTAGATCAAGATTATCCATATGGAGGTTCAATGAAAGTCGGAATTGAATGCTCACTTTTAGCTGAATTATCGCACGCGTTGCCCATTCCATATTCACAATCAGTAGGACGGACAAATACATGAACATGTTCTACGTAAATGTAAACCTCCTGGGTTCTAAATGAAGTATCTGGATCGTAATTCAGTTACTTTTAATCGCATATCTACCATTTGGGAACGATCAATGTAGCGTCGTCACCAACAGGTTGAGAATCCTTCAGTGAGAAAATCTGTAGTGTCGTTCAATAGAGCCATTGCTGGAATTGCCGTACAAGTTCGTCCTTTGCCATAGTAGAACGACAAGGTTTCGAAAATGCTTTACGACGTTGCAAAGCTGATCGATTTGCCCAAGAAAACATCTCAAGAGTACGGTTGTTCTTCAGAGAAACCTTTCAGTATCTGCTGAAAATTCGTTAATGTCCCAATCAGTTCGTAATAATGAGAACGCGTTCAAGAACCATGAAAGATGCCTAGAGAGTGAGCTGTATAGGAGACA